GAATAGTAACATTCTGACTCTGTTTCAGGCCTCAACCTCCAGGTCCTACAGCCCTCTGGCCTTAGGTGGAGGTAAGTATTTTCTTTTTACAATATTGTTTCATTAAAAACATGATTTGACTTTCACATTAACCCTTTATTATCATCTTCTTTCAGTTTCATCAAATTCTTCCCCCAACAGCGGGAGTCGAGAACCGTCTCCCAACGGTTTGTCCTCGGCTTCGGTTGCTCTGACCTCTCAGGTCAACCCCGCCTCCTACACCACGCCAGGGTAAACAACACATTCTTCACTTCCACTCGTTCACATTAATGACCACAAAACATAAAACCTGAACAGGACTAATCCTCAGAGCTGGAGGTGAAGAAGCAGTGACGGTTTTGCCCTTGGCTGTGGGGCCATGTGTTTCTGTGGTTTCAGCAAAAATAACTCACAAACTCTCAGAAACGAACCACTGGATAAACGTCTACAACTTAATAATTTCAGAAGTCAACTGAATAGCCCGTGTCCAAGAAGCCTTAACACACTTCCTGTCCCTCATAATCCATGACCATCTCGAGGCCTTCTTTGCAACTTCTGAGTGTTTTTGGCTTTTATTCAACATCCTTCACAGTAATGGTCAGGAGGCTATAGCTCCTACTCCCAACTTCAGTGGCATACATCAAGTATGCCATCCTCGTCTGTGCCCAGTTCTTTTTCTTTGTTCTCTTGTTAGCCTCTTCCACCTTCCCCTCCCTGAGAACCAATAACTCTAACATAACCATTTGCTTGGGTACATTGTCCGGTCTGAGGCTGGTCTTCAGGATGTTCTCTGAAAATCTGAGTCCACGTGCTTCTCCCAGGAAGCCCTGTTGAGCCTTTGATTTGTATATATCGTTATATATCTACTGCTCAAATGACTGATGTGGTGTTTTGATGGTTTGAGATATCAGATCTGGTCATTGGCATTATAGATGGACTCCGCCGCTGCCTTTAACACCTGCTTCAGGACTGAGGATTTGTTTCTTAGTGTTCCTCATTCTTGGCACAGAGTGCACACTGACGTTTCTGTCTTGTCCCAACATAAATAAATTGCATGGACCGGGTTGTACACTGTACACCAGGGGTGTCAAACTCATTTTCACCAAAGGTGACATGAGCATTATGGTGGCCCTCAAAGGGTATTTTTTTCTTCTAGGGTGGCATCTCATTGGAGTAGCTCTCTTACTTTCATTGAGACCCAGCCAAACAGACATCACCCTCCTTTGACCCACAGCTCTCCTGTCAAACCTCAGATGATTTATCTTCAACCTTCATGGACTCTTGTTTCCACAAGTTTGTCTTCAACCAAATCAGGAGATTCTGCTGCTCCCTTTCCCTCCTCCTCCCACTTTTCTGTGTCTAGAAGTCAGGTGAAGAGGCAGCTAGAGAGACTGAACCAGAACCTGCAGGTCCAGATGGTGTCAGCCCCAGAGTCCTGAAGACCTGTGCAGATCAGCTCTGTGGGATTCTGCAACACCTCTTCAACCTTAGCTTGACCCAGGAGAAGGTGCCAGTGTTGTGGAAGACATCCTGTCTGGTTCCAGTTCCAAAGAAAACTCAYCCATCAGCCCTCAATGACTATAGACCTGTTGCCCTGACATCCCACATCATGAAGGTCCTAGAGAGACTCCTGTTGACCCACCTGAGTAAGCAAACACATCAGGACCCCTGCAGTTTGCTTATCGTCGTGGAGTTGGAGTTGATGATGCCATCATACACCTGCTTCAACAAACCCACTGTCATCTGGACAAAGCAGGCAGCACTGTCAGGATCATATTCTTTGATTTCTCCACTGCTTTTAACACAATTCAGCCTGAGTTGCTTTGTCTGAAACTCCAGAAGAGTCCGGTGGAGGCCTCAACAATCGCCTGGATCAAAGACTACCTGACAAACAGACCACAGTTTGTGAGACTGAAGGACTGTGTGTCTAACCAGGTGGTCAGCAGCACAGGAGCACCACAGGGAACTGTACTCTCACCATTCCTGTTCACACTGTACACTTCAGACTTCCAGCAAGTCAGACTGCTGTCATCTACAGAAATACTCAGATGACTCTGCAGTTGTTGGGTGTATCAGAGATGGACAGGAAGCTGAGTACAGAGAGCTGGTGGACCACTTTGTGGCATGGTGTGGGAACAATCATCTCATCTTGAATGTCAACAAAACAAAGGAGATGATTGTAGATTTCAGGAGAAATWGTGYTAGATCAAACCCTGTTTYCATCATGGGAGAAGAAGTGGAGGTGGTTGAGGAATATAAATACCTCAGTGCTCATCTGGACAACAGACTGGACTGGAGACTCAACAGTGAAGCAGTCTACAAGAAAGGACAGAGCAGACTGTACTTCTTAAGGAAGCTGAGATCCTTCAATGTCTGCAGCAAGATGCTGTAGATCTTCTAAGTCTGTTGTTGGAGATGATGGTGCAAAGAAGGGTTTTACATAAAATCAAGAACATTGTGGACAACCCTGACCATCTTCTTCATCAGACTGTCATAGAAAGACAAAGTGTCTTCAGAGTCTTTTTCAGTTTTGTTGTAATACAGACCTCTACAGAAGATCTTTCCTGTCCACAGCCATCAGCATCTACAATAACTCTGGTTAAATGAGTTACAACATCTAATTTCCCTCTGTGATCAATAAAGTATTTTTGAGTTGAATTTATAATTAACCTAACGACTAAACACGAAACATCACATTCCTGAGCACTGCTAACAAACAATAACTGATCTCTACATTGTAATTTCTGCATAGAATCAGTGTTTTAACATGTCATCTTATAAACACTGAAAATTACTACGTAAACAACTGACTAAATGGGAAATAAATACAGAAAAACTATTAAAAGTTACCCTGTGAACCTCCACCTAGTGGTGGGAAGCCTTCAACTTGTGTGTACAATAATCGACATGCATTATGATAGATGTAGTTTATGGTCAATGCTGACTTTACAGCAGCTTATTTTAAGACATTAATACTTCTTTAAAGCTCTTGTAGACCACATAACATGTTGTGGCAGGAGACATTTGGCCCACAGGTCTTGAGTTTGACAAGCGCCATACACTGACCAGAACGATTCAGCGTTCCACACTTTGGCCCATGAGATATATATTTTTTTTACCAGGGCCTATTACTATCTTACCATGAGTAAAGTTGCCTCAGTCAAATCATTTGGCTCCAGCTCCAACTTTCTTTTGGACCAGATTGATGGAATGTGTCCCAATCCTACCCAGCTTCATTCCCACTACTGAGCTAGCATGACATGTTGTGAAATCCACTATACTATGTTTTTAAGATTCATCATAAACATTTTAGTATTAGTTTTCATGTGGTTTGTTAAAGAGAATAATCCTGTGTTTATCCTTTTCAGGTCTTGGTATCGTGCTTGGAATTCGGCCGCGTATCATCACTGAGAAACACGAACTGTACCATATGAATCCATTGAAGATTGTTGGATTTGAAATGAATGAAGATTGTGTAACTAACTCAGGGTTACGACTACAGGCTAAACCATCCCAACACTCATAAAACAACACAAGAACACGAGCCAAAGTCTGCAAAACCATCATCGGATCAAGTCCCTGAGGCCTGGTGTTGACTTTTTATATAATCCAAAAGATGAAGGACAAAAAAAAACCATCAAAACACAGATGGAAGTTTTCATGTTTGAGAAGCTCAAGACTTAAATTATTTTAAATGTTGAAGGATTCAACTCCTGCTTTAGCTGTATTTAAATTGGACTAGAAAACCTTTCTGTTGCTGTTATCAGTCTTCATTTACTGTGGTTGTTTATTGTTTATACTAGTGTGAAAATTTACAATATAAAGAATTCAAAATGATACTTTGGCAAAATATCACAAAAGCATCCGCTCACATAATGACGGGTTTAACTGCTGGCCATTTTAGTTTATTTTAGGAATAAAGAACAATCTTTTAAGGACAATTAGGTTCATAATTCTGTAGAGGAGCAATAATCAGAGGTCTCAGGTTTCAACTTAGAGCTGTTTTACATCTAATCCCCGTCAGTTAAACGTAACCAAAACACCTCATGTGGACCAAAGACCCCTGAGGACATCCAGGAGGGATTGATTTGCATAGCAGTTCAGCCCAGCCCAGCACCCATCTTCTTCTTTTAGTTTTGATTTGGGAAATCTCCACGGATGGGCAACTGTTTTTTAATTCATCCATAATTTCCTTATTTGTCGTCGGATCATAGAGACACAGATCCAAATGAGGATACATAAACCCTTACAGTGGGTTCTGAGGCATCCTGAACCAGCTCAGCTGATGAAGACGAGCTGGACCCCCTCCTTTGTAGGATCTTCTTCTTCTGGTCTTAATTCATTTCTCATGACCATAGAAGTAAATGCAGAGCTTTGCCTTTTGGCTCAACTACTTCTTCACTGTGAAAGGCCGGAACGACGCCGTCATTACTGCAAATGAGACCTTGGTCTGTCGATCTGTCTCCGGCCCACCGTCACTCGTGAAAAAGACTCCCAAATACCAGAACTGGTCTGAGTCAAAGACTTCCTCCTGGACCAGCAGCCTCAGACGTAGAAGAAATGCCAAAAGCTTATTTTTTTTAAAAAAGTGGTTCTTTTGTAAAAAATAAAATAAAATAAAATAAATTTTGTGCTTTTTCAGAAACAATAGAGGGAAGAAACATTTCCCCACGTTAAAACACTGAAATCAACTGTTTTCAAAGAGAGAATATCTTTTTTCTGTTTAAAATCTTCATCAACCCATTTAATTTTTATGTTTTTAACATTTCCTGTCTAAAGCACTTACTGCTTTAAGTTTGAATCTAAATGATTTAGCTTTATGCTTTTTTTCTAAATTTTACCAGTTTATAAAACCGCCCCGGCGTCGCCTCTCATGTGAATGTTTTTTTCTTTAATAACGTTTCTGAACTTCTTTTTTTTTGAGTGTTTTATTTAATATTGTGGAAATGTGATGTGTTTTATGTAATGTGACAGTAAGTAATTTTCTGACATAAAATAAAGTGATGCTTTTAATTCACAGAAAAATAATCTGTTGCGTCATCCATTGAACTCTCAAACTGTGGTGAAAGTATGAGTGGTGGTACACAGGACCCCTCTAGTGATAGTTCCACCAAATATTTAAATTAACTCCAAACTTTTCAAAATAAAACAACAACAGAGCAAAACTAAAGAACAGAGGAGTTAGTAAATTTAATTTTATTCCACTAACTTTGAAAGTCAGAGCAAAAAGACAAAACCTTTTATGTGTTTTAGGCAAATTTATGTTCATTTTAGGGTTTAATGAACAATATTTGACATTTACATTTATTTTTACATCATTCTTTCTCTAATAAAATACATTAATTTACAAGATGAGGTATAATTGCTCATAATGTACATTTTAATTATGTTTATTGTTTRAAGGTTTCTGATCAAAGCTGATTGAAGAGGGTTAATTTCATTCTTGTCAGTTAAAAATGAACAACATGCGCCCCCTTCTGGTCCAAAACATTGACATGATTTTATGTTTTTGGTACAGATGACAATTAAAGAGTTTACAACATATTAGTTTTTTATATAATCTATTTTACAGCAAACTTGAGTGTTTTTGTAGAATTCTTCTGGTTAGTTATTTACACTTCAAAGTTAAAAAAGTTTTAAATCAACGTAATAAACAGTTGATTAGTTATAAAATCTGTCTTAATAAAGATAGATTTGTCTTGTTTTACTAAAAGAAGGCTTCAATCGTCGGCTCAGTGCCTTGAATCTTCGACTCACCAAACGGTGAGATGAGGTCCGTTTCTGTCGTTTCCCCACTGAGTGGTTTTGTTTGCAGCTCGTTTGGTTTTTGTGTTTCATATTTCTTTAAACCTGCAGGAGCAAAAGTTGAGAATTAGAGCAGGAAACACCTGTGTGCAGGGATGATTATGTTCATCAGGCGGTGCAACAAACCATCTTTAATTATGATAACTGGAAATTATTCATTGGCAATTGAAGGCTAATTTATATTTGCTGATTTGAGTTTAATGAAACGAGTCGCAGCATCTCACTCTCTGATCTATAAACTACTTAAATTTGAATTAGGGAAACAAAAACAAAAACTTTGAGGTGTAGACATATTGCTGGATGTTGCAAACAACCATCTGCCATTAGTGTGATGTAATCCCTGGATGTTACAAAACATAATCTAGTTGTAGTATGTGACCCAGGCTGGAAAAACAAGTCAGAATGAGCAAAACTGCAGAGCAATTTGCAAAACCTAAGTCCATAAAGACAAAACTTAGCTATCCAAGTAACTAAATAGTTAAAATAATTTTCCTAATCTACTTTTAAATTGACGTTTTGTAACAGGTGTGTCTTCAGAAATAATCCTTTATCTTTTTGACCCTTTGCACATTCGTTACCAGTCACGTGGGAACACCATGACGGACGTCAGAAGTGAGGGRGCGGTGTATTGAACAGAACTGCGATTGTTTTTCTAAGTTGTTTTTTGGTTTTTGCCATGGCTTGTAGCCTACTTGTGGAAGTAGCAGAGGTAGTTGGGCTCATAGACAGCTCTATTTAACAAGCTAACCAGTAAAATCCTCACCTCCTCACGGCAGGARCTCACCTGCTCATGGTGTCTGTGGATCAGAACCACAGGAGCTGCAGCAGCAGCAGCTTGGCTGTAGCCTGCTCGTTATTAGCTCTCAGAAACGGTTGGAGTCTTTCTGAGAGCACAAACTCATTAAATGAAAGCAAYGTGAAGAGCGTTTAAAAAAATGCCGACGACAACTGGTTCAGAATATAAGCTAGGCTAAACATTTGTTAAAGTTCAGTTTATTAACAGATTCAGACATCAACCCTCCACAACATGTCAAGAACAGATTGTCAGTAAATTACACAGATTTCCCCCCGTTGTGGGTGTTGATGTATCTGACAGATTTTATTATTATTATTATTTTCAAACATCCGTCCTCCTGCTTTATCGGGAGTCAGGTCCCAGCAGCTTGAGCAGGGAAGCCCGGACCTCTCTGTCCCCAGCCCCCTCCACTCTTCTGGGGGGATTCCTAGGTGTTCCAGGTCAGTCGAGACTAGGGATGGGTACCTTTGACGTTTGAATCGATTCGCTACCAATATCCGGTACCTGGGAATCGGTACCGGTACTTAACGGTACTTATTTCTCAATATATGAAATTAACAAATATCAAGACAACATCCAACTCTTTGTATTGTAACATCAGTTGTGTAATTTATGTCTTTAAGGTGAAAACTGTTGAAAACAACAAGACTGTTTTGTCTTATTACACAAATTAAAATCCAGCTCCATGTGTTTCTATTGATGTCATTTCTCCCTGCTAGAAAAACTGTGTGATGGAGGTCCATGGAAGGTAAATAAGTTTAAATCAAATAAGCAAAAGAGGATGAAGTTAAAATAAATAAAAGGTATTTAAGCTACATTTTGAGCATCTAAAACGCTCCAACACTTCAAGTTAGCTGCTTCAGGTCAGACGTGTTCAGACTGTCAGGAAGCTCCTCTGTCGGTCTCTGTTTAATGGAGGATGAAATAAAGAAAKTGGTGGTACTTTATTTACTTTGAGCAAGYGAACGTYRTGCTSAMCAGATAATTAATCCASYAGATAATTCAGAGGCGGTCTGTTCGGTGAGTTTTACTCCAGGAGCTGYGAGGCTTTCATGTTATGTTCAAACTGAGCTCTGTTTACTGAACCAGYRGCTGCTGACGTCATTACGCTTTTGCGTGATGCTGCGTTCAGGACAAGCATGGAAAACTCACAACTCTTACACCAAACCAGTCGCAATGATGTGTTTAAGTACCGAAACATGGCACCGTTTGATGTTACGAGAATAGATACTTGGTAGTACCGACAGAATTCAGTCTGTGCATAAAAAAGTATCGAATTCGGTACCCATCCCTAGTCGAGACACTGGAGTGTTTTATAAACACTCGTCTTCAAATTGATTTTACGTATCAAAGACTGTAAGATGTGTAAAAAAAAAATAAATAAAATTAAATGACCATCTCCCAAGCTGCTCTGCCACTTGTAAATCCTCAACTTCGTCCTCATTTTCCTCCTCCTCTTCCTCCTCTCTGCTGCAGGGGATCTTATCTCCCGGCCGTGTTCTGGCTTTCTCCACGGCCGATCGACAGTCGCAGCGCTCCCAGTCGGATCGTGTGACTAACACAAACTTTTTGCTTGGAGGATTGTGTGTGTGTGTGTTTGTTTTCGTTTATTGTGAGAATCCACTGTCCACCAAATGTATGTATTTTTGACTAGCTGTACAGGAGTTTACGCTGGTTTTTGACGTCCGTCATGGCGAAGTGGGCAGTCTTTTGGGGTGCGTGACGTCACGTGCAAAGGGYCAATAACTCTTTATAATTTCCATTGAAAGTGACCATTTTTTGCCATAATGCCAGGAAATCCCTTCACATAGTCAAAATAATTTATGTGTTGTCATCAATGCATGTTTCCATACGATGATGAAACATGTGGAGCAGCAGGTAGCTGTTTATGCACCCGGGGGGAACTGTGGGGTTGTTGTCTCCTCAAGTACACCACAATGTGCATTGGGGAATTTAACCTGTGACCTTCTGGTCCCAAGTCATCTACCCTACCACTATGATGGAGTTTTAGTGGGTTATCTCCAGTTACTCTGGTTTCCTCCATCAAACCAAAAACTTGTACAAGTTTGCCTTCAGGCCCAGGCCTCCCTTACAAAATACATCTGTGATCTCAAGGGGATTTACCTGATTAAATTAAGGTCAAATTAAAAACCAAATAATAATAATAAAATAATATTGAAACATTTCTTGTAGTAACTCATTTTGCCAACACAGGTCACACATTTTATAACAAAGAAGCACATTTTTCACTATAAAACTTAGTGGTGTAAGAAAATATCCAATAAATTAGCTGTGTTTCCATTACAAATGTGCGCAAAACTTTGTCGATATTCTGTTAATGTTAAAAACACAGTTTCACATCTGCAGTGTTTCCATTAAAGTAAGAAATGTTATTAAAGTCACGTGAATACGTTTGTTCTCATGATAAGTCATTACAAACATGGCAGCGATGGATGTAAACACATAGCATGTTGCTACCACGACACTAGCGCTCATCATCAGAGGAGACGTCGGCGT